GGGTTATATATGGGTGTGTGGAAGGGCCCTCATATGGACGATTTTGGAGTATTTTAGAACTCCGGATAAGACACATTTAACCTGCACCATCTTCTAAATTCAAAATGTATGGGTGGTAGCTCTAAATCTGTATTGATTTCAATTCCTCCTCCAAAATTAATACATACTTGGTAAAATGACATCCTCTGTGACAACAAAAATATGTCATGTCAAGCAGTAATGACAAGAGACCCCACTCTGTATCCCTGTTCCAACAGCTCAAATATTAATATAGGTACCTAACATGGAACGAAAAGTTAACATGTGGCTCTCCTGGGGGAACATTTTGAATGTGTTACTATGCATAAACAAATGATGTGGGAACTGAATGTTTACATGTTGAGCAGAACAGGGGAGAAATGTTTCCCTTCCATGTACACTCAAGCCCTATATCCCAGGATCTGATCTCAAATTGTCTGCTTTAAACTGGATTAAATGAGTCTCCACTGCCAGATAATCTGGGATAAAAATATAATCTGGGATCAGATCCTGGGATATAGGGGCAGCATGAAAAGGGCCTCGGGCAAAAGCAAACCACTGCAGACTATCAATGCTTCTATAGCCATCCTCAGTAATACCTTTGTATCACTATGCAATACGATTTTTGTTCCTGGGTTATAAATGTCATTTCTTAATTGGTTCTATCATAAAAACATGTAAAAGGGATATCATGCAGAACATTTTGCTGTATTTTTCAATTAATCTCTTGAGTCTCAACCAATTCAACACTGTTTGTGGCAGACATAAAAACAAAGTTTCTGGAGTATAGCAACAACTTTCAAAGTAAGTGACACACAATTAAACAGGGCACAACACTTTCAAAACAGGAATTGGTTTTTTTCCAAATTTTGTTACATAGTGTAATGGATGATAGGAATTGAAAGCCCAAAACTTTTGGAAGGCTTCATCGGTGATGATTTTAGATCTGTGACTTTGTTTGTCTTGTAGCAAAAACTACCTGGTTCTTTCAAGCTTCTCTTTTTTACCTAGAAAGTTATATTTGCGTTTTGCCTCTAGGTAAGGACAATATCAAATAACAACATATATCCTTAAAAATGGAAGAAATAAATACCGTTCTATTATCTTAACTATAACACAAACAGGAACACAAGCACTGGACAGAGTCTCATTTGAATGCCCGAAGCCACATCCTATTTCACCACCTCTTTCATCCGACAATATTACATCACTTTGATTCCACTTTGAATCCAGGGCTCTCTAGTGCTGGATCTACACTGAACAATATCCCAGGATCTGATCCCAGATGACTTGCTTTGAACTCTATCATAGAATCATAGAGTTGGGCCATCCAGTCCAACCCCCTGCCAAGAAGCAGGAAAATCGCATTCAAAGCACCATCCAGCCTCTGTTTAAAAGCCTCCAAAGAAGGAGCTTCCACCACACTCCGGGGCAGAGATTTCCACTGCTGAACAGCTCTCACAGTCAGGAAGTCCTTCTATGCAATACAATTTTTGTTCCTAGGTTATAAATGTCATTTCTTAATTGGTTCTATCATAAAAACATGAAAAAGGGATATCATGCAGCACATTTTGCTGTAGTTTTCAATTAATCTCTTGAGTCTCAACCAATTCAACACTGTGACTTGAGAAGCTGCAGGTTGCTTCTAGTGTGAGAGAATTGGCCATCTGCAAGGATGTTGCCCAGGAGATGCCCAGATATGTTACCATCCTGTGGGAGGCTTCTCTCATGTCCTTGCATGGGAAGCTGGAGCTGACAGATGGGAGCTCACCCCACTCCCTGGATTGGAACCGCCAACCTGAGCTTGTGCCTTGCTTAAGGTCACACAGGCCCTACCCACACTGACCATTTCCTGCAATTTCAAACCGGGATTGAAAAAAAATGTGGTTTCATTGTGTAGCTAATTCCACAGGAAATCCTGAACCTGGTTTGTGACTCAGATGACAATGACACAAACACACAAAGCGCTGATGCGCACAATGAGATTTCTCACACAGGCTCAGTGTAGATGGAGCCTCGTTGGGTTTTCCTGGCCAAGTAGAGATTTGGACACTGGTCTCTAGAGTCACCGCCCAATACACAAATCCAATACACTGAGGCCCCTTCTACACTGCCATAAAATCCAAATGATCTGCTTTGAACCGATTTATATGGCAGTGTAGACTCATATAATCCAGTTCAAAGCAGATTATGTAGCACCAACTGTAAACCGCCCTGAGTCGCCTGCAGGCTGAGAGGGACGGTATATAAACAAACAAACAAACAAACAAATAAAATAAAATAAAATAAATTTGATAATCTGGATTATATGGCATGGTAGAAGGGGCCCTTGTGTAGCTTGATGAAAAGTTCCGGAGAACTCCATAACTTTAGGGGCTTGGTAAAGAGGTGTCCCGAAAGAAAGGGTAGGACTTTTCAATGCAATATAGAACAATGGAGTTGGAAGAGACGTGGGCCATCAAGTCCAATCCACTGCCATGCAGGAAAAGCACAATCAAAGTACCCCCAACAGATGGCCATCCAGTCACTGTTTAAAATCCTCCAAGGAAGGAGCCTCCACTACACTCCAAGCTCTGAACTGCTCTTACAATCGGAAAGTTCTTCCTAATGTTCAGGTGGAATCTCCTGTGCTATTAACCATAGACTTTAGATAGGCAGCAATATCAGCAAGATCAGAGATATAGAGGATGCTTACTAACACAATGCGCTTGCTTACATTTCACCACCCTAGTTGGCTATGACTGCGTTCTCTTTTGTCCTTTGGAGTCATGCCACGCTGCTGAAACCTTAGCAAGCATCGCTACACTTGCAAGCTCTGGCACTCATTCCTCAAGGAAAGTACACCAGTCTCCATCATCCACATTGCCGGGGAAGACCCTCCATTCATGCAGCAGCAGGAGGTGGAGCTACCCAGTGCCCTTGGGATGCATCTCCACTGTCGAACAAAGGCAGTTTGAGCCCACTTTCACTGCCATGGCTGAAATCTATGGAATAATTGCATTTCTTGTCTCAGAAAGTCTTGAGCCTTCTCCTCTGAAGAGAGTTGGTGCCTCCCTAAACTACAAATCCCTGGATTGTATAGTCTTGAGTCATAGCAGCGAAAGAAGTCAAACCACTGCATTCACTCCACAGTGTAGACAACAATAACAACAACAACACCTCCTCCATCTAAGGCTTTATATCCCAGGATCTGATCTGCTTTGAACTGGATTATATGGGTCTACACTGCCAGATAATATAGGTTAAGAAGAAATTCTGGGATCAGATCCTGGGATATAGGTCAATGTAGATCCAGTCTAGGGCCCCTTCCACACAGCTCAATAAAATCCCACATTATCTGCCTTGAACTGGGATATATGGCAATGTGGATCCAGATAACCCAGCTCAAAGCAGATATTGTGGGATTTTCTGCCTTGATATTCTGGGTCATATGGCTGTGTGGAAAGGCCCATAGTTATCTGACGCTCCTTCCACGCAGCTGAATAAAATCCCACATTATCTGCCTTGAACTGGGATATATGGCAATGTGGATTCAGATAATCCAGCTCAAAGCAGATATTGTGGGATTTTCCGTCTTGATACTCTGGGTTATATGGCTGTGTGGAAAGGCCCATAGTTATCTCAGGCCCCTTCCACACAGATGAATAAAATCCCACATTGTCTACTTTGAACTGGAATATATGTCAGCGCAGACTCAGATAAACCAGTTCAGAGTAGATATTGTGGGATTTTCTGCCTTGATGTTCTGGGTTATATAGCTGTGTGGAAGGGCCCTAAGTCGCTCACTTTATCTGTCATGGTTCAAGGTTATGGGATCATGGGATTTGTAGTACTCTTTGTCAGAGAAGGCTAACCTGGACAACTTTGGCTAGATCTACACTACCCTATAATCCAAAATCCCGAAGTATCTGGGTTATCTGAGTCCACACTCAACGTGGGATTCCCTACCTTGATATTCTGAGATAGAGGGCTGTGTGGAAGGCCCCCCAGGATCTGATCTGCTTTGAACCGGATTATATGCGTCTCCATTACCAGATAATCTTTAGATCAGGGCATTGTAGATCCTGGGCCCTTCCACACAGCCCTATATCCCAGAATGTCAAGACAGAAAACCCCACAATATCTACTTTGAGCTGGATCATATGAGTCTCCATTGCCAGATAATCTGGGATAAAGATCAGGGATCCTGGGCCCTTCCACACAGCCCTATAACCCAGAATGTCAAGGCAGAAAACCCCACAATATCTGCTTTGAACTGGATTTATATGAGTCTCCATTGCCAGATAATCTGGGATAAAGATCAGGGCATTGTAGATCCTGGGCCCTTCCACACAGCCCTATATCCCAGAATGTCAAGGCAGAAAACCCCACAATATCTGCTTTGCACTGGATTATATGAGTCTCCATTGCCAGATGATCTGGGATAAACATCAGGGAACTGGATTATATGAGTCTCCATTGCCAGATAATCCGGGATAAAGAGCAGGGCATTGTAGATCCTGGGCCCTTCCACACAGCCCTATATCCCAGAATGTCAAGGCAGAAAACCCCACAATATCTGCTTTGAACTGGATTATATGAGTCTCCATTGCCAGATAATCCGGGATAAAGATCAGCGCATTGTAGATCCTGGGCCCTTCCACACAGCCCTATATCCCAGAATGTCAAGGCAGAAAACCCTACAATATCTGCTTTGAACTGGGTTATCTGAGTCCACACTGCCATATATCCCAGTTCAAAGCAGATAATGTGGGATTTTTATTCAGCTGTGTGGAAGGAACCCCAGTCTTCCAAGAATCCATAAGGCTGAGGGATAGCTGTGGGATCAACCTGCCTTCCTACCATTCTGATGTCCATTCTGCTTCTCCGGGTCCGAACTTTCCAAGCCTCGCAGCTCCATTGGCTTCTTTGGAGTTCGGACTAAAACCCGGAGCAGGAAGCCCCCTCCCTCTCCCTCTCCCTCTCCCTCCGCGGAGTCTCACCTCGAGAGGCTGCAAAGGCAGGCAGGCAGAGCCGGGTCCGGACCGCGGGAAGGGCGGCAATGGAGTGAAGGTGGAAGGCGCCTCCGCCGCCGGGTTTTATGGCTGGCCCTCTCTCCCGGGGGAGGGGGCGAGGGAGGGAGGCAAGCTGGGGAGGGCGGCGCTTCAGGAAGACCCCTCCCTCCTCCTCCAGAAGCCTTCAGAGACCCCACGAGAGACTTCTTCTGCAAGCCTGGCTCAAGGAGGGAGCCTCCAGCATCTCAAAGCAGTGGGATGCTCTTCTCTGGGTCTCCGCTCCTCTCAAGGTCACCACCACCAATCTTGATCGTGAAGAGGGTCCCCTCCTCCTCTTTCCCCTCCTCTTTCTTTTTCCTCCTCCTCGTTTCCTCCTCCTCCGTTACTTCTCTTCCACCTCTTCTTCCTCCTCCTCTTCTTGTCCCTTTCCTTCCCCCTCCTCTTCTTCTCCTCTCTCTTCTACTTCTTGCTCCTCCTCCCTCTTCCTCTAACATAGACTTGGAAGGGACCACAGCCCAGCCATCTAGATCAACCTCCTGCCAGGCAGGAAAAGGTGTGCAAATCTTCTTCACTTTTTTCATCTCCTTCTCTTTGCTCATCTTTTTCTTCTTCCCTCTTCTTCTTACTCCTTTCCCTTTTTCTTCTTCGTCTTCTCCTCTTTTTCCTCACTCCCCTCCTCCTCTTCTTTTTCATCTTCCTCCTCTTCTTATTACTTCTCATACTTCTCTTCTTTTTCATTTCCCCTTCTTTTGACTTCTCCATACTTCTCTTCTTTTTCATCCTTCCCTCCTCTTCCTACTTCTCCTCATTCTTCTTTTTCTTCCATTTATCCTCCCCTCCTTCTTACTTCTCCTCATACTTCTCTTCTTTTTTCCATCTTCCCCCTTCTTTTGACTTGTTCATACTTCTCTTCTTCTTTTTCATCTTCCTCCTCTTCTTATTACTTCTCCTCATACTTCTCTTCTTCTTTTTAATCTTCCTCCTCCTCTTCTTATTACTTCTCTTCATACTTCTTTTCTTTTTCATTTTCTCCTTCTTTTGACTTCTCAATACTTCTCTTCTTCTTTTTCATCTTCCTCTTCTTCTTACTTGTCCTCATACTTCTCTTCTTTTTCATCTTCCTCCTCCTCCTCCTCCTCCTCCTCCTCCTCCTCCTCCTCCTCCTCCTCATTACCTCACCTCATTCTTCTCTTTTTCTTCCTTTTCATCCTCTCCTCCTCTTCTTACTTCTCATCTCTTTCACCTTCCCCTTCTTTTGACTTCTCATGCTTCTCTTCTTCTTTTTCATCCTCTCCTCCTCTTCTTCTTACTTCTCCTCATACTTCTCTTCTTCTTTTTCATCTTCCCCTTCTTTTGACTTCTCCATATTTTTCTTCTTCTTTTTCATCCTCCCCTCCTCTTATTCTTACTTCTCATATTTCTTCTTTTTCATCCTTCCCTCCTCTTCTTACTTCTCCTCATTCTTCTTTTTCTTCTATTTATCCTCCCCGCCTTCTTACTTCTCTTCATACTTCTCTTTTTTTCATCTTCCCCCTTCTTTTGACTTCTTCATACTTCTTTTTCATCCTCCCTTCCTCTTCTTCTTACTTTTCCTCATACTTCTCTTCTTCTTTTTCATCTGCCCTATCCTCTTCTTAAATCTCATTCTTTCTTTTTCACCCTCCTCCTCCTCTTCTTACTTCTCCTCATTATTGTCCTTTTCATTTTCATTATCTCCCTCCTCCTCCTCCTCCTCTTCCTTCTCATTCTGCCTTTCTCCTAGGCTGCATCTACACAGTGCAATTATTGCAGTTTGGCGTCACTTACAGCTTGTTGACATCATGGAAGTCACCAGCCGTCTTTGGCAGAGAATGCTGAAGACCTTGTAAAACTAGAACATCCAGGATCCCATAGCATTAAGCCAAGGGCACTAATGCGGTGTCAAACTGCATTAATTCAACAGCGTAGATGCACTCCATGACGCAAAGGGTAGATTTATCATTAGAGTGTGATCACACAGTAAGATATCCACAGGAAAAATAATGCCTAGTAAGAATAACTCTCAGGCCCCTTCTATACTGCCATATAAAATCCAGATTATCTGCGACAAACTGGATTGTAAAACAGTGTAGACTCATATAATCCAATTGAAAGCAGATAATGTGGATTATCTGATTGATAACCTGGATTATATGGGAGTGTAGAAGGGGCCTAAAATGGCACGTACCACCCTAACTGGTATTCAGTGATCCATCTTTACACACCAAGGTCTTGCCTAATTCCTTCCAAGCCATCCTTCCAACACCTAGCCTTCGCATTAATTTCTTGACTGCAGTCTCTGTTCTGAATAATGATGAAGCTAAAGGTGAACCATACTTGAGGAAATAAAGCCCGACTGCTCATTGGAGGGAAGGATATTATTGGCAAAGATGGAGTACTTTGGCCACATCACAAGAAGACAGGAAAGCTTGGAGAAGATGAGGATGCTGGGGAAAATGGAAGGAAAAAGGAAGAGGGGCCAACCAAGGGTAAAATGGATGGATGGCATCCTTTAAGTGACTGGATTGACTTTGAAGGAGCTGGGGGTGGTAATGGCTGATAGGGAGCTCTGGCATGGGCTGGTCCATGAGGTCACGAAGAGTCGGAAGTGACTGAATGAATAAACAACAACAAAGGTGAACCTATCATGGTGTTTTATTGGCCAGATTTCAGAGATTTGACCTTACCTTTTTCTGAGGCCAAAAGTGCAACAGAGCGAAGGTTTGAACCCTGTTTTCCAGAACTGTAGTCCAGTGCTCTGGAATTCCTCTTGGATGCATACATATTGTAAAATAAGCATACGAGAAGCTCGGCCTGTCATTGAATATCTAGAAAACCAAAGTGTTATTCCAGCAGTCACCAGCCAACCCCTTTCCAAAGCCAGAGATACAGCTCAATGGTAGAACATTAGAAAATGTTGACCATTTCCGCTTCCTTGGCAGCCACCTCTCCACAAAAGTCAACATCGACACCGAAATACAACACTGCCTGAGCTCTGCGAGTGGAGCATTTTTCCACATGAAGCAGAGAGTGTTTGGGGACTGGGACATCTGTAGGGATACCAAGGTTCTTGTTTATAAAGCTATTGTCCTCCCAACCCTGCTATATGCCTGTGAGACGTGGACTGTCTACTGACGTCACATGCAACTCCTGGAATGATTCCATCAGCGCTGCCTCCGGAAAATCCTGCAAATCTCTTGGGAAGACAGCTGGACAAACATCAGCGTCCTGGAAGAAGCAAAGACCAACAGCATTGAAGCGATGGTCCTCCGCCATCAGCCTCACTGGACCGACCATGTTGTCCGGATGCCTGACCATCGTCTCCCAAAGCAGTTGCTCTACTCCGAACTCAAGAACGGAAAACGGAATGTTGGAGGACAGAAAAAGAGAGTTAAAGATGGGCTCAAAGCCAACCTTAAAAACTGTAGCGTAGACACTGAGAATTGGGGAGCCCTGGCCCTTGAACGTTCCAGCTGTAAGTCAGCTGTGACCAGCAGTGCTGTGGAATTTGAAGAGGCAAGAGGTGAAAGAGAGAAACGTGCCAAGAGAAAGGCGCGTCAAGCCAACCCTGACCTAAACCGCCTTCCACCTGGAAACCAATGCCCTCACTGCAGGAGAAGACGCGGATCAAGAATAGGGCTCCACAGTCATCTACAGATCCACCAAAACACTGACCCTGGAAGACTATTGTAAAATAATAACATAACTTAGGACTTTTTAAATGGCCATCTGCAATGGGTCAAGACTGGCACAAATGAGAGGGTACTATGTGCAGGATGCCCAGAATTCAAAGCCTTAGCATAGCACTCAAACCACAATCCCACACTGGTTCAACATCGTCAATATGCTGATCCCGGCTGAGCTAGCAATGAGAAACTAGTAAAGGGTTTGGGGGCAAATATTAACCTAGTGAACATTTATGGTTGTCAGGTGTCCCTTATTGGAAAGGTTTTGCTTTTACATCGGCAGAATTGGAAGCTCCCATCTCAAGGTTTGGGATCTGAGTTCCTCCTAAAGAAAGAAAGGTGTGCATTATGCAGTTTATGAATGTGGGCCATGTGTTAATTTTACAGAGAAATACATGGCTAGGTTGATTGAAATCAATACTTGCATTTGGAATTTAGGTAGAACACTTGCTTGGTAATAGCTGTTTCTTTTTTGTCCAGCCTACATGTCATGAATTTGAATGGTCTCTTATTGCTTTTTTTCCAAAACCTGGCAACGCTGTAGACTCGCTGTGCTCTAGGCAGATTTTATGTTAGGTATCATTAAAAAGGGGACTGAAAAGAAAACTGCCAGTGTTATTATGCTGCCATACAAATCTATAACAAAATTTGAAAACTTTTCTGTTCCTGGTTTGAAAGTGTTATTTCCTGTTTAATTGGCAGTACTTACTTTGAAAGTAGTTGTTATATTCCAGAAACTTCATTTTTGTGGCTGCCACAAACTATGTTGAAGTGGATAAGACTCGATGAGATATTCATTGAAAAAGTATCGCAAAATGTGCTGCAGGATGTCCCACGAAAACAGAGTTTGGGCAGTTTAATAAACTTTATCCATGCTTTTATGATAGATGCAATTTGGAAATTACATTTATAACCTAGGAACAAAAATGGTGTTGCGTAGTGTAATGTGACTCCACTTGGAAAGCCAAGATGCAGAGCTTTAGCACAGCAGGTTAACCATCAGCTGCAGTAAATCTTGCCAACCAAAAAGCTGACAGTTTGAAGCCCAGGTCAGGGTGAGCTCCTGGCCTTTAGCCCAGCTTCTGCCTGCCTAGCAGTTTCTAAAACAGCAATGTGAGTAGATGAATAGGTACCACTTAAGCAGGGATGTATTTAAGGTGCCCATAAGGAAATGCCAGAAAAATGCCAGGGATTCGATCAAGGAGGAAGTTTACAAACAAAGCTCTTCAGCAGGGAAAGTGGAGTGACAGCACCCCCCATGGCCAGAAGCGAGCACAGCCACCAAGATGCCAAAGATGGAAAAGCTTATATATACCTCTGTGCAATTGTCTGTCTTGTCAGTGTATCACGACATTGAATGTGTGCCGTATTTGTGTTCTATGATCCACACTAAGTCCCCTTCAGGGTGAGAAGAGCGAAATATAAATATTGTAAATAAATAAGATGCAGAAATACTGTCAAAAATTACAGATAAAATGATCATGGGACAAAAGATTAGTAACACTGGCGTTATTTTCTTTAGAAAAGTAGTAAAGGCAACATTGAGAACATACAGCCTAATAAATATATTACAGTAGAAGTGTTGGGTTTTAAAAAATAAATGTTCATATA